CATGTTTTGAAATGGGAGGATATGAGATTTGGGAGGGGTTTGGGGTGGAATGACATGGTTTGGCTCTGTCCCTACCCAACTAAAATCTTGAATTATAGTTCCCATAAGCCCCACATGTTGTGGGAGTGAACCGGTTGGGGATAGTTTAATCATGGGGGTGTTTATCCTCATGCTGTTCTTGTGATAGTGAGTGCATTCTCACAAGATCTGATGATTTTATAAGGGGCTTTTCCCTCTTTTGCTTGGCACTTCTCCTTGCTATTTCCATGTGAAATAGGATGCATTTGCTTCCCCTTCTGCCTTAATTGTTAGTTTCCTGGGGTGCAGCCATGCTGAACTGTGAGTCAATTAAACCTCTCTCATTTATAAATTACTCAGTCTTAGGTATGTCTTTATTAGCTGTGTGAGAATGGACTAATACACAGTGCTTTCAGAGTAAAATCCAACCTTTAAATGTGGTGATAAATAGCCCCCAGGTTTTGGCCCCAGCTAAGCAACCTCCTACAACTCATCTTTCCCAATCCCAACTGTTGTCTTCTCTTCCCTTTGCCATGCATAAACACTTTATCTTTTAACCATTTTGAACTTTTTGTAGTTTCTTAAATAATGAATACTTTAATCTCCTTTGGGTTTTTGTGTATGTCATTCTTTTTACTGGAAACTTTTTCAGATTCCTTACTTCCACACTGCAGAGTCAATATTACTGACTCATCATTAAGGTCTTAATTTATACATAATTTATTCTGTTCCCCCAAGTAAGCTGGTTGGTGAGTTTATCAGCTCTCAAAGTTCTTTACCCTCCTCTCATTGAGCCTTCCTCTCTTCAGCCATAACACTTTTCTGATTCTTCTCTCTAAATGTTATACTCAGACCTCTTCTCTATGATTCTTTCACACTGTTTTCCTCTTTGGAAATTCCAAACTTATTCTTATACTGTTCAACTCCTATGCATTCTCCAAAATCCCTAATTCATACCACCTCCAAGAAGATTTTTCAGGTTACTCTTCTCCTCTGTGATAAATTTTATGCTCAGAGTACATGATATATATCTGTTTAACTTATTCAACATTTACCATACACTTCTCTGAAATGTCACTGATGTCATTGTCAGATATCATCATTCAGTTCTGGTAATAACAGTCTGGTATACAAAGAACTACTTTGAGGGCAAATATATGTGTGTGTGTGTGTATATATACATGTGTATATACATGTATATACATGAGATATACATGATACATGTATATATATGTGTATATCTCATATATATACTCATATGTACATATACATATATATATACACATATATACACACACATATATACACATATATATGAGATATTTATTGTTGAATGAATATGAGTGACAAGTGGGGAGGAAATATTTTAATTTCCAGCAGAGAAAACAAATCATGACAAATTATTTTTTAAAACATTGTAAGAAATTTCAAAAGAATTATAAATCTTTAATAAATGTGGTTTAGAGACATCAGTTTGGGCTACTTGCCATGAATTATTTTTTAATATAATTTTAACTTTTATTTTAGATTTATGGGATACATGTGCAGGTTTGTTACATGAGTATATTGTGTGATGCTGAGGTTTGGGTATGATTGAACCCATCACCCAGGAAGTGAGCACAATACCTAAGAGTTTTTCAAACCTAGATGCCCTCCCTTTTCCCCTCCTTTAGTAGTCCCCAGTGTCTATTGCTGCCACCTTTATGTCCATGAGTATCCACTGTTTAGCTCTCACTTATAAGGGAGGACATGTGGTATTTGGTTTTCTGTCCCTCTGTTGATTTGCTCAGGATAATGACCTCCGACTGCATCCATGTTTCAGCAAAGATATGATTTGTTTTCTTTTCTGGCTGCATTGTATTTCATAGTGTACATGTACCACATTTTATTTATCCAATTCACCATCGATAGACACCTAGGTTGATTCCATGTCTTTGTTATGGTAAACAGTCCTGTGTTGAACACATAAGTGCATGTGTCTTTTTGGAAGAACGATTTATTTTCTTTTGGATACACACATAGTAGTGTGATTACTGGCTCAAACGTTAGTTCTGCATTAAGTTCTTTTAGGAATTGCCAAAATGCTTTTTATAACGGCTGAATTAATTTACACTTTCAACAACAGTGTGTAGGTGTTCCCTATTCTCTGCAGATTCATCAGCAACTATTTTTTGACTTATTTTTTTTTATATATATTTGTATATTTTTTTCACAGCAGCCATTCTCACTGATATGAAATAATATCTCCCTGTAATTTTAATTTGCCTGTCTCTGATGATAATGATGTGGAGCATTTGTCATATATTTGTTGGCTGCTTGTATGTCTTCTTTTGAAAAGTGTCTGTTCATGTCCTTTGTCTATTTTTTTAATAGGGTTGTTTTTCACTTGTCGGATTAAGTTATTCATAGATTTTGGATGCTAGACCTTTATCAGATGCATAGTTTCCAAATATTTTCTTCCATTCTATAGACTGTCTATTTCCTCTATTGATAGTTCTTGTTGCTGTGCAGAATCTCTTTGGTTTAAATAAGTCTCACTTGTCAACTTTCTTTTTTGTTGCAGTTGCTTCTGAGGACTTAGTCATAAATTCTTTCTAAGACTAGTGTCTAGAATGTTGGTCTCCTGGGTTACTTTTGGTATATAGTGAAAGGTAGGGGTCCAGTTGCATTCTTCTGCATATGGCTAGCCAGTTATCCCAGCATCATTTAGTCCTTTTCCCATTGCTTGGTTTTATCTATAGCCAATATTGTTGGCTATAGGCATATGGCTTTATTTCTCAGTTCTCTATGCTGTTCCATTTTTCTATATGTCTGTTTTTGTACCAGTATCATGATGTTTCATTTATTGTAGCCTTGTAGTATAGTTTGAAATCAAGTAATATGGCACTTCCAGCTATTTTCTTTTCGCTTAAAATTGCTTTGACTACACTTTGGGAGGTTGAAGTGGGCGGATCACGAGGTCAGGAGATTGAGACCCTCCTGGTCAACATGATGAAACCCTGTCTCTACTAAAAATACAAAAATTAGCTGGGTATGGTAGTGCATGCCAGTAATCCCAGCTACTCAGGAGGCTGAGGCAGGAGAATTGCTTGATCCTGGGAGTTGGAGGTTGCAGTGAGCTGAGATCACGCTACTGCACTCCAGCCTGATGACAGAGTGAGGTTCCATCTCAAAAAAGAAAAAAAATATATACTTTGATCAGTCACCCTCTTTTTGATTATAAATGAATTTTAAAATAATTATTTCTAATTCTGTGGAAAATTACATTGGTAGTTTGATAGGAATAGCACTGAATGTGTAGATTGCATTTCCATTTGTTTGTGCCATCTCTGATTTCTTTCAGCAGTGTTTTGTAGTTTTACAAATTCTATGATTTTAGTAATAGTAGTACATAGTACTATGTAGTAATTCTATGATTTTTGTACTTTGACTTTGTATCCTGAAACTGTCATTTATCAGTTCCAGGAGCCTTTGGGCATAGTCTTTAAGATTTTCTAGGTATAGAAACATATCATCAGCAAAGAGGGATAGTTTGATTTTATCTTTCCCTATTTGGATGCCTTTTATTTCTTTCACTTGCCTAATTGCTCTGGCTAGGATTTCCTGCTATGACTTATTGACTTAAATAAAATTGACTTTTGTGGGAATCTTATTAGGAAAAATTATCATACAAAACAAGTCAGCGCCCTGTGCTTGTCTCTGTATTCCCTTAGTTTGCACATAGCTTTGGTTACTTTAGACTCTTTATATACAAAATTAAATGAATTAACATAATAAAACATCTGCTGATAGACTATCCAATTTGCCAGTGTTTTAACATTGAACACAGTATTGTGGTAATTGCCACCTGTTTTTGTATTTCTCATTCAGTAAAATACTGTTGTAACTTTCAGTCTTCACGTTTTGTGAAGATAATAAATAGTACACTGCTGTATTAAACAAACCAAATAAAGTAATTTAAAAAGCAGTTGATTAGCATCATCTTGACAGGATAGAACATAATAAATTCAGACATTGGAATTATATGTGTTAAAATCAATTCTTTTGGGTTAACACTTAAAAATATTTTCAGAAATAATGAAAGAACAAGTTAAGATTTGAGAGAGAAATCACAAAAGTCTGTTGTCACTCATAACATGCCAGCCTGAGGTTGTATTTCCAATGTTTCTTAAAACAAAAAGAAAACACAAGCAGCCAGAAACAGAAAATGGAAACAAAACCATAAAACAGAAAATAGCTCAACACGTTTTGGTTTCTTTGATTTTTGATGTTTTGTTTTGTCTTTACTGCATAAAAAATAGTTGCATGCCTGAATTGTTCATACTGCTGCCAATTTTGTTAATACTATGCATCACAGTCTTTCAAATTCTCACAATCAGCTTACTGGGGCCTTATCTAAGCTTAGTGGCAGGCATAAATAGTTGTTCACCAAATATTCATAATTAATTCCACACATAAAATGCAGCTGGGATTGGGCTGTGCCTGGGTAGCTAGAAGTCACATTTCCCATCCTTCCCTGCATCTAGATGGGCCTAGTTTTGCCTAACAAATGTGAGCTACTGCTATGTGTTTCACTTGAACAAAATGTTGGTTAATAAAATGAAGCATGCCCTCTCTACACTCATGTTCATGCCCCATCTGATTGCCAGATGCAAAAGATCTTAAGTTCCTAGAGATAGTGAACCTGTAAGATGAAAGAACTCCAGGCTCCTGAATTACCAAATGGAGACTGACCAGGAGCATCTGCACGGAAGTTATGTGAGCTGGAAATACACTTGTATGTATAAATTACTCAAGTGTGGCAGTATATTTCTTAAAGCAACTAGAACTACCTTGTTGTTATTAACACTAGTTTGAAGATTTTGATAGTGTCCCCTGATATCCAGAGTTAAATTATTTTTCTTTGCCAATAAGAAAGTATGATTACATACTACAAAGTATGATTACATACTAGAAAGAAGTCGTACTAACCACCACAGTTCTAGAGTTAGCATTATTTTAAATCATTTTTTCAATCAACAAATGTTTTGGCTTTGGATATATTACCAACAGTTTATTGCCAACATGCGGAGAATAGAACAGAGTTAGGGGATGAGGAGTACAAGCTAATAACATTGCTTAAATTCCGAGATCCAGTTGTACCTAATGATAACTACAAATTCTTACATTCTCTTCCTCCTCCTCTCTGTTTCCTTGTTATTCTTCCTTTTCTTCTTCCTCTTATTTCCTAAGCTGGTTTGAGTAGAGCCAACTAACTTAAATTATGCCAGGATATATGAAGACCTATAAAGCAGGTAAAGGAGTTTAGCTTAGTTACAATTAGGCATGGAAAGCAAAACTCATTGCCACTTTAAAAAGAGGAATATTTAAATATACAATTAGGCCACTCGAGGAAATACCTATTATATATGAAATCATCTTAGTAAAATGTCCCAGCAAAAGTTTTAGAATTAGCAGAATGAACTTTATAAAAGTTGTTGAAGCATAGCAATGCTTCACGGAAATACTTAGACTTATTAATAGTTACATAACACTGTATGCATGCTTTAATTAAAAGCTGAGTAAAATATAAGTGCTGAGGCATTTGTTTCATAAAATATAAATGAGTTACAGTCAAAAGCTTCTTTCATTCTTTTCCATTTTTTTAATGACCTACATATTATAAATAAATTCCTCTTAGAACCTAAGCCTAATGGACTAAGTTTGACCACCTTATGTGGCATTTTACAGCTAACTTTTAATTATGACTCAAGCAGCAGTTGTGAAAGATTGAAGACTAATGTATACAGCCTTAAGCCATACCATAATAGGTTCTTACAGAGAAAGCCAAATTTTGCTCCAAGAATCATGATGAATAACATGTCACACAAATTCAAATAGAAGAAAGCAAAAGCAAAACACTAATACCTTGAATATGGCGTATGCCAAGCCTTCTGTCATGGTAAATCACAGGCAGAAATCTGAGTAGTAGGGACACAGATTTTCCTAGCTAACTGAGCCTCCTCCTCCTGCTTCATATGAATCACTGATTTACTGAATTTTCAAGATGGTTTATTCAAAACCTGTTTCAGATATAATTATCATCAAAGTCAGTACTTTAGATATTAAATCTATCATATACAAACAATATTTCCATGAGGGATTACAGACTGCTACACTTGGAATATTTACCTTATTGGTAAATTTCACTGGAACCACCTCAGCCTCCAAATATGATTTGAAGAACACCTTATTAAAGCCTCATTCTTTAGGGAATCTTCCTCACCTCCATCCTTCAGCCTTGACAATGACTTTTCTCTATACTTATTTCCCAATTTTGACTTCGGTTCTAGTTTGTCTGTGTTCATATTCTTGAACTTTAGCTAGTAGAATAATCTTTGTAAGTCCAGGTACCCTCATGAGGTAGCCATTGGTTTTGCCATAGTACACACTGAACACCTTTCCTCATCCCTGGCTTATGGAATGTTAACCCAGGCTCATAGTTTTCAAGGAGGAACATTTGAGCAATTCCAGATGACCCTTAGATACAGAAACCAAACCAAAACTGGATTAGGTGACAAAGAAGAATCAGTGACTTGCATATCTTAACAACACAAAGGAAGGTAGCATGGTTTTCCAGCAAGGCCATATACAAGATCTCAGATAGCACTAACAGAACTCATGTACTGTATATTTTATGACTTTCCTCCATTTTGAATGCACTTGGTCAATCTATTCCCACATGGAACACTCCAGTACAGTCAGACTTACATGCAATCCTCTGAGCAGTCAGTCAGCATAAGAGAGTTTTAAAAGTCACAAATAATAGTTAATAGTTCCAGAAAAATGCAAAGATTGAGTTTCACTGTACTGGCTGACTTGAGTCATGTTCTCATCACACTGTGGCTAGAAGGGAGAACTTGTTGATTGGCCAGCACTGGCTCACATACTCATAATCAGAGCCAGAGTATTGATAATGAGAAATAAGTGGTTCCAAAAATTAAAGTCAGTGTGCTTTTATCAAAAGAAGGAAAAATGGATGACGAGCAGGCAAGCAAATCAAAACAAAACTAATCAAATGTCCTTTATGTATCCACTGTAATAGTGTAAGGCACACCTAACTACTCCAGTAACCAAAGAATTATTTCTTCTCAACATGCTATACATGATCCCATCTAGAAATTGCAGCAATTGCAATGATTACAAATGGTAATAATTTGTGGAGCTCTATGTCACATACAACCTTTTCCTAACTGCAGTCTCTATGAACCTGGGATGATTAATCAAGATCTAAGTGTGTCTCTAAAGGGAAAATGATGATTGTATAGCTAATCCCGTGAGAAGCATTTCCAGTTTAAATAGCCCAAGTCACGCAGTGTCATTTTTCCCAAAATCAAAGAGCCTATGCATCAATAGTGAGCTGAAGCCAAACTCTTCCTCGGAGACTAAATGCAGGAAAGGAATTGATTTTGTTGGATTTCCCATTAACATTAATTACTACTCTTTAATGTGACTCAAATGCTTCTTGACAAGGATATGATCTACTTGTGGCAAGAAACCATTCATATTCAACTGTAATTCAGCTTGTTTTTCTCTGAGCTGTATATAGAGTGGTTACCAAAGTCCAGTCCAGTCACATTACTTGAAAATGTGTCACCTGACTCGTGGGGACAGATATTGATATGGAATAATACCTTTACATTATTTGTTTTTTTTTATTGAGAAGACATTTGATAAACTTAATGCATAATTTGAGAAAACTGATTGGCTTTTAATGGAATAAAGTTAGGACACTATCAAATGAGTGCCTTGGACCACTGTAATAGGATGTGAAACAAACTAATGGGTACATAATATATAGTTTCATAAGATCTGGGACCTTTCCCTTTTTATCTACACTTATTATGATAACAATGCCTGGTAAATAATAGGCACTCAAAAATATTGGTGAACAAATAGATTACAGAGTAAAATAAAAGTAAAATTTTGAAGAAGTTCCAATTCTAAAACATATTGAATATTGAGAAAAATTAACTGAAACTCAATTCCATCTACAATGAGAAAAAAAATAAGTAAATCAAATCGGTCACACAGCTAGAAGATTAATGAATTGAATCTGGGTATGTTTGATTCTAGAGTCCACTCTTTTGTTTTAATTCATTTTTTGTTTGTTTTTATTGTAGCACAAGCAAAGGTTTTATGTTTGAGGAGCATGAATTCTGCAGATAAACTGCAAATTTAAAATGCAGGATCCTCGGTTCACTACCAGTGTGACTTTGAGAAGGGAGTTGCTTAAATTCCCTGTTTAAATTTCAATATCTGGTAACTGGAAATAGTATGATGATTAAATACACTATTTTAAAAATGATTATAAGAGTGCTTTACCTGCAGAAAATTCTACATATTTTTTGTTAAGTTTCAAAAACAACGGTATTTTTGAGAATAGAAAACACAAAACAGCCAGTATTCTAAAAACAGATAATTTTATCAAACATCACCCACAAGTATTTTAGTAGATTTTACTATAAATTAATGAGAAAGATAGGAACATATAAAATATTTCATGATCCCCATAGATTATAGTGATCTATAACATAGCAGAAGTGTCAGAGGGCCTTAAAACACACGGGCACATCTGGTCATGAATTGCTGCTCCCAATGATAATTTATTTCAGTTACTTAAGAACTTCTTGGTATAGCTATTTACCTTCTTTGCATAATCTTAATTCGAATATATTTCTCCACAATATTTCTTTGACATTGATGGTTACCTGATGAATTTTATCTGATTATTTGAGCCTTCTGTTCTGAGACTTATCCTCATCTTCCCTTCTGTACTTCACTCACAGGCCAGCCTTACCCTGATATCAAAACCAGACAGGCACACAAGAAAAAGAGAAAGATAAGAAAAAGAGGAAGCCAATATCCCTAATGAAAACAGATGCAAAAATATTTAACAAAATATTAACAAACTGGGACAGGTGTGGTGGCTCACGCCTATAATCCCAGCACTTTGGGAGGCCATGGCGGGTGAATCATCTAAGGTCAGGAGTTTGAGACCAGCCAGACCAACATGAAAAAACCTCATCTCTACTAAAAATACAAAAAATAACCAGGGATGGTGGCACATGCCTGTAGTTCCAGCTCCTTGGAAGGCTGAGACACGAGAATTGCTTGAACTGGGAGGTGGAGGTTGCAGTGAGCTGAGATCACGCCAACTGCACTTCAGCCTGGATTACAGAGTGAGATTCTGTCTCAAAAAAAAAAAGGTAATAACAAAATGAATTCAACAACCCATTAAAAAGATTCACCATGAGGAACTGAAATTCATTCCAAGGAGGCATCAACATATGCAAATCAATAAATGTGACAAATCAGATCAACAGAATCAAGAATAAAAACCATAAAATCCTCTCAATAGATGCTTACAAAGCATTTAATAAGGCCAGGCATGGTGGCTTATGCCTGTAATCCCAGCACTTCGGGAGGCCAAGGTGGGCGTTATCACCTGAGGTCAGGAGTTTGAGACCAGCCTGACCAACATGGAGAAACCCCATCTCTACTAAAATAAATAAATAAATAAATAAATAAATAAATAGCCAGGCATGGTGGAACACGCCTGTAATCCCAGCTACTCAGGAGGCTGAGGCAGGAGAATCAATTGAACCTGGGAGGCGGAGTTTGTGGTAAGCCAAGATGGCGCCATTGCACTACAGCCTGGGCAACAAGAGTAAAACTCCATCTCAAAAAGATTGAAAGCTTTTGGACTAAGATTTGAAACTTTCACCACTTCTATTAAAAATAGTACTGGAAATCCTAGCCAGAGCAATCTGGCAAGATAAATAAAAGCCATACAAATTCAAATTAAAGAAGTCAAATTATCCTTGCTTGCAAACAACATGCTCTTATGGTTATAAAAACCTAAATACTCCACCAAAATACTGAGAATTAATAAATTAATTTAATACAGTTGCAGGATACAAAATCAACATACAAACTCAGTAACATTCACATATGGTAACAGTGATCAACCTGCAAAAGAAATTAAGAAAGCAATCCCATTTACAACACCTACAACAAACAAAAAACAAACAAACAAAAATCTTTGGAATGAATTTAACCAAAAAAGTGAAAGATTTCTGCAGGGAAAACAATAAAACACTGAGGAAAGAAATTGAAGAGTATACACAAAAAATGAAAAGATATCCCATGCTCATGGATTCAAAGAATTAACTTGTTAAAATTTCTATACTACTCAAATAGATCTACAGATTCAGTGTAATCATCATCAAAATTTCAATGATTTTCTTCACAGAAAAAAAAAAAATAACCCTAATATTTATACAGAGACACAACAGTCCTTTAATAGTTAATCTCACACAAAAAGAATATAGCTGGAGGGATCATACTACTTGATTTCAAATTTTACTACAAAGCTATAGTATTCAAATAAGCATGGTATTGGCATAAAAACAGACATATTGACCAATGGAACAGAATAGAGAATCCAGAAATAAATCCATCCACTTATAGTCAGCTTATCTTTGACAAGCCACCAAGAATATGCATTGGGAAAAGAACAGCATCTTTAATAAATGATGCTGGGAAGACTGGATATCTATATGGAGAAGAATGAAACTATATCCCCATCTTTCACCACATGCAAAAAGCAACTCAAAATGGATTAAATACTTAAATACAAGACATGAAAGTATAAAACTACAAAAAGAATGCATTGGGGAAACACTTTAGGACATTGATCTGAGCAAAGATGATTTGGGTTTCAAAAGCGCAGGCAACAAAAACAAAAATAGACAAATGTGATCACATTAAGTTAAAAAGCTTCTGCTTTTTAAGGAAACAATTAATGAAGTGAAGAGCAACCTACAGAAAGTGAAAACTATTTGCAAACTATTCATCCAACAAGAATATATTAGGGAAATATAAGAAGCTCAAGTAACTCAATAGAAAACAAACAAATAATCCAATTAAAAATGGGCACAAGGGCTGGGCACGGAGGCTCACGCCTGTAATCCCAGCACTTTGGGAGGCTGAGCCAGATTGATCACAGGTCAGGAGTTCAAGACCAGCCTGGCCAAAATGGTGAAACCCCATCTCTACTAAAAATACAAAAAAATTACCTGGGTGTGGTGGCAGTTGCCTGTAATGGCAGCTACTCGAGAGGCTGAGGCAGATAATTGCTCGAACCCAGGAGGCGGAGGTTGCAGTGAGCAGAGATCACGCCCCTGCACTCCAGCCTGGACAACAGAGCAAGGCTCCATCTCAAAACAAAGAAACAAAAAGGCACAAGAATTGAACAGACATTTACCAAATGAAGACAATTAGAACTACCATACAATTCGGATATTTGTCCCCTCAGAATCTCATGTTGAAATTGATCCCTGATTTTGGAGTTGGGGCCTAATGTAAGGTATTTGGGTCACAGGTGTGGATTACTAATGAAGGGTTTATATCATCTTAGTGGTAATAAGTGACTTCCATTAGTTCACACAAGAGCTGGTTGTTCAAAGGAGTGTGGCACCCTTCTCTCTCGCTCTCTTGCTCCTTCTCTTACCATGTGATACTACTGCTCCTCTTCCACCTTCTTCCTTGAGTAAAAGCTTTCTGAAGCCTCACCAGAAGTTGGGCAGATATGGATGCCATGCCTGTATAGCCTGCAAAACCGTGAGGCAAGTAAACCTCCTTTCTTTATAAATTACCCAGTCTCAGGTATTCCTTATAACAATGCAAAACAGACAAAGATACATATGATACAACAATCCTATTAATGAGTACTTATACAAAATAAAGGAAATCAGTGTTGTCAAAAGATATCTACACTTCCATGTTTATTGCAGCATTATTCACAATAACCAAGATACAGAGCCAAAACATGTGCTCATCAACAGATGAATGGATAAAGAAAATGTGGTATATAAATGCAATGGAATATTATTTGCCCATATAAAACAATTAAATCCTGTTATTGGCATAAACATGGATGAAACTGGTGGTCATTATGTTAAGAGAAATAAGTCAGACACAGTAAGATAAATATGGCTTATTCTTACTCACGTGGAAGCTAAAAAAATGGATCTCATGAAGGTAGAAAGTAAAATGATATTTACCAGAGGCCTGGAAGGGAAGGGGGTTTGAGGGCAGGGAATGAAAAGAAGTTGGTTAACAGGTACAAGCATACAGTTCGAAGGAATAAGTTCAAGCATCATAGTACATTAGGGAAATTATAGTTAACAATAATGTATTGTATATTTCAAATTACAATGGAAGAGAAGAATTGCAATGTTCCCGACACAAAGAAAGATAAACATTTGAGGTGAAGTATATCCTAAATACTGTTATTTGATCATCATTATCCATCATATACAGGTATCAAAATATCACAAGTGCCCCCAAAATATACACAACCATTACATATCAATAAAATTTAAAAATACTTTACTCACATTTTTCAACTCCTCTGCTTAGTCACTTGCTCCATCTCATCTTTATTATGCCAAACAATTTAGTTTTATAGCCTTTATTTGGCTTTGGAATCTCCCTTGTGTTTCTGAAGATTGATTAAGGTGCTCACCTGGAAAAAGATAATGTGAATCTTGAATCTCATACTTTATCCCACAGGAAATTTGGCATTTCAGTCTTTCTTTAAATACCCCTCACTAACATCTATAAATAAAAGATATTTAATTTGCCAGTGATATAAACTATACCACCTACTCCCCACCTGCCCCCCTCCCACTCCACACACACATATCTTACATGGAAGATTTCATTTTAAGTAAACAAGTTCCACAATTTTGGAAATGTATATTTTTGGAAGGGAAGAAGAAGGAGATATTTCTTCCATAATTGTGTGCTGAGAGATTGAAATAAAGGTTACCTGCTTCCTAGCATCCTACCTGCCAGTAGTTCTAGAACTACAAAAAATTCTAGAACTGTGCTTTCTAATATGGCAGCCATGAACCACATATGGCCGTTTAAATTAATGAAATTTGAAGAAAATTTAAAGTTCAAGTCTTCAGTCTCGCTGCCCAATTCCATTTATTCTTTACTCACGTGTGGCTAGTGGCTAACATATTTGTTGCTGCAGATTATAAAAAACTTCCATTACTGCAGAAAGTTCTATTAGACAATCTTCAAGAGGAGACAATTGTCGGAATTTTCAAATAGATATTTTGAAGAGTGCAATCTTGACCTGTAATTTCTATAAGATCTTGCATATGGAGATCACTCAAAAATTTTCAAAAGGCAGACAAGCAGCTAACAAACATGAAAAATGCTCAACATCGCTAACCATCAGAGAAATTCAAATTACAACCACAATGAAATTCCATCTTACACCAGTCAGAATGGCTATCATTAACAATAATTTTTAATAATACTAATTCTGACTCTATATAAAAGTCAGAAAGCAACAGGCTGCTTATAAAACTTATTTTATAAACAGATCATATATAAAAAGTCAAAAAACAACCAATGGTGTTGAGGCTGCAGAGAAAAGGGAACACTTACATGCTGTTAGTGGAAATATAAATTAGTACAATCTTTAGGGAAAACAGTAGGGAGATTTCTCAAAGCACTAAAAATAGACCTATCATTTAATTTGGCAATCCCACTACTGGGTAGTACCCAAAAGAAAGAATTTATTATATCAACAAGATACCTGTACTCATATGTTTATTGCAGCACTATTCACGATAGGAAAGATATAGAGTCAACCTGTGTCCATCAACAGAGGATTAGATAAAATGCAACATAGATATATCATGGAATGCTACTTAGCCATAAAAAAGAAAGAAATCATGTTCTTTGCAGCAACCTGGATGGAACTAGAGGCCATTATCTTAAGTGAAATATTTCAGAAACAGAGAGTCAAATGCCACATGTGCTCCCTTATAAGTGGGAGCTAAACAGTGAGTACACATGGACACACAGATTAGAATAAGGGACATTGGAGTCTGCAGAACATGGGAAGGTGGGAGAGGGGTGAGGGTTAAAAAGTTACTTATCGCATACAATGTTCACGATTCAGGTGATAGGTACAGTAAAAGTCCACACTTCACCACTACACAACATACACATGTAAGAAACCTGCACTTGATAATCTCTTGGGAGCTCTGTGGCCCTGCTCACCACCTGAGAAACCCAAATACTTATCCAGGTGTCCCTAGGGGAAGCTACACTACTGCAGCTGATGCTGCCTTGAAAACACCACCTCCTGACTGGAGGCCAAACAAGACAAAACTAGCACACTAAACAAAACTACACTGAAGGACCCTCACAGAGTCCACTTCACTCTTCTGTTATATCCACCAGAGCAGGTGTTGGTATCCACAGCTGAGAGACCTGAAGATGGATCACATCACAGGAGTCTTTGCAGATTCTCCCTAGTACCAGACTGGAGCCTGGTAGCTCTGCTGGGTGGCTAGACCCAGAAGAAAAATAACAATCACTGCAGTTTAGCTTTCAGGAAGCCACATCCCGAGAGGAAAGGGAGAGCACCACATCAAGGGAGCATCCTGCAAGACAAAGAATATGAACAATAGCCCTTAAGCCCCAGATCTTCCCTCTGATATAGTCTACCCAAATAAGAAGCAACCAGAAAAACAATTTGGTAATATGACAAAACAAGGTTCTTTAACACCCCTCAAAAATCACACTAACTCACCAGCAATGGACCCAAACCAGGAAGAAATCTCTGAATTGCCAGAAAAAGAATGCAGAAGGTTGATTATTAAGCTACTCAAACAGGCACCACAGAAAGGTGAATACCAATATAAAGGAATGAAAAATAAAATGGTATAGGAAGTGGATGGAAAAATCTCCAAAGAAATAGATAACATAAATAAAAAACAATCACAACTTCTGAAAATGAAGAACACACTTAGAGAAATGCAAAATACCCTGAAAAGTCTCCGCAGTATAATTGAACAAGGAGAAGAAAGAACTTCTCTTGAAGTTCCTTGAGCTTGAAGACAAAGCTTTTGAATCAACCCTATCCAATAAGGACAGAGAAAAAATAATTTTAAAAACGAACAAAGCCTCCAAGAAGCTTGGAATTATGTTAAATGACCAAACCTAAGAATCATTGGTGTTCCTGTGGAAGAAGAGAAATCTAACATTTTGGAAAGCATATGTGAGGGAATAATTGATGAAAACTTTCCTGGCCTTGCTAAAGAACTAGACATCCAAATACAAGAAACTCAGAGAACAACTGGAAAAATCACAAAAAGATAATCACCTAGATGTGTTGTCATCACATTATCTAAATTTAAGAGGAAGGAAAGAATCTTAAAAGCTGTGAGGCAAATGCATCAGGTAACCTATAAAGGAAAACCTAACAGACAAACAGCAGATTTCTCATCAGAAACCCTACAAGCTAGAAGAGATTGGGGTCCTATCTTTAGCTCTCTTAAACAAAACAATTACCAGCCAAGAAGTTTGTATCTGGTGAAACTAAGCATCATGAATGAAGAAAACATACAGTCTTTCTCAGGAGCTGAGAGAATTTGCCACCACCAAACCAGCACTACAAGAACTGCCAAAAGGAGTTCTATATCTTGAAAGAAACCCTTGGAATATACCAAAGTAGAACCGTCTTAAAGCAAAAGATGGGCCTATAAAATAATAACAAAATGGGAAAAAAGGATATTCAGGCAAAACTAGCATGTTGAATAGAATAGTACCTCACTTCTCAATACTAATAATGAATGTAAACGGCCTAAATGCTTCACTTAAAAGATACAGAATGGTGGCCGGGCACAGTGGCTCATGCCTGTAACCCCAGCACTTTGGGAGGCCAATGTGGGCGGATCACGAGGTCAGGAGATCGAGACCATCCTGGCTAACACGGTGAAACCCCATCACTACTAAAAATACAAAAAATTAGCCTGGCGTGGTGGCAGGCGCCTGTAGTCCCAGCTACTCGGGAGGCTGAGGCAGGAGAATGGCGTGAACCCAGGAGGCGGGGGTTGCAGTGAGCCAAGATCGTACCACTGCACTCCAGCCTTGGAGACAGAGCCAGACTCCATCTCAAAAAAAAAAAAAAGATATGAATGGCAAAATGAATAAGAATTCACCAACCAAAAATCCGCTGTCTTCAGGAGATTCACCTAAAACATAACGACTCACATAAACTTAAGGTAAAGGACTGGAAAAAGATATTCCATGCAAATGGACACCAAAAGTGAGCAGGAGCAGCTATTCTTATATCAGACAAAAGAGACTTTAAAGCAACAACACTTGAAAAAGGCAAAGAGGGACATTATATAATAATAAAAGGGCTAGTCCAACAGAAAACTATCACAATCTTAAATACGAATGCACCTAACACTGGAGTTTCCAACTTTATGAAACAATTACCACTAGACCTGAAAAATGAGATAGACAGCAACACAGTAATAATGGGGGACTTCAATACTCCACTGACAGCACTAGACAGGTCATCAAGACAAAAAGTCAACAAAGAAACAATAGACTTCAACTATACCCTAGAACAAATGGACTTAATATATTCTATTAATCAGCATATGAAACATTATCCAATATAGAACATATTATAGGCCACAAAAAAAGCCTCAATAAGTTTAAAAACATTGAAATTATATCAAGTACTTTCTCACACCATAGTGGAATAAAATTGAAAATAGACTCCAAAAGGATGCTCAAAACCATGTAAATACATGGAAATTAAATAACCTGCTCCTGCATGATGGTTGGGTCAACAATTAAGTCAATATGAAAATTTAAAAAATTATTTGAACCGAATAATAATGACACAAACTATCAAAACGTATGAGATACAGCAAAAGCAGTGCTAAGAGGAAAATTCATAGGATTGAATGCCTACATGATAAATTCTGAAAGAGTACAAATAGTCAATCTAAGATCATGCCTCAAGGAACTAGAGAAGTAAGAAAACACCAAATCCAAACCCAACAACCAAAAAAAGAAATAGCAAAGATTAAAACAACAACAAAAGATAAATGAAACAGAAAGCTGGTTTTTTTGAAAAGATATACAAAATCGATAGACCATTAGTGAGATTAACCAAGAAAAGAAGAGAGAAAATCCAAACAAAAAATGAAACTGGAGATATTACAATTAATCCTACAGGAATATGAAAGATAATTCAAGGCCACTATGAACACCTTATGCACATAAACTAGAAAACCTAGAAGAGATGGATAAATTCCTGGAAATATACAACCCTCATAAATTAAACCTGGAAAAAATAGAAACTCTGAGCAGACCAATAACAAGCAGCCAGATTGAAATGGAAATTTAAAAAATTGCCATTGCCCACACAAAAAAAGTCCAGGACTAGATGAATTCACAGCTAAATTCTATCAGACGTTCAAAGAAGAGTTGGTACCAATCCTATTGACACTATTCCAAATGTTAGAGAAAGAGGGAATCCTCCCTAAATCATTCTATGAAGCCAGTTGCACACTAATACCAAAACTAGGAAAGGACATAACAAAAAAAGAAAATTACTGACAAATATCTTTGATGAACAATATTCCTGATGAACATAGATGCAAAAATCCTCAACAAAAAACTAGCTGACTGAAACCAAAAGCATATGAAAAAGATAATTCACCATGATCAAGAGGGTTTCATATCAGGGATGTAGGGATGATTTAGCAAGTCAATAAATGTGATACACCACATAAACAGAATTGAAAACAAAAATCACATGATCATCTTAATGCAGAAAAAGCATTTGGCAAAATCCAGCATTCCTTTTTGACTAAAACCCTTAGTGAAATCAGCATAGAAGGAACATACCATAAGGTAATAAAAGCCATCTATAACAAATCCACAACCAACATAATACTGAATGGAGAAAAGTCAAAATCATTTCCC